GTATTTAACAAATTTTGTTTATTGAGTGATAAACAAAAGCGTAGACATAAAATTTCAAGTCTTTTCATAACTTCTTTTGTAAAATATTAAATAATAATGAAGACAAGGTTAATATACTGACTGTCATGGCGGTGACTGAGGATAATACAAGTTTAGTTGATTTATTTAAAGAAAAAAGGAAAAGCAAAAGAATAAAACAATTTAATTCTTCCAATATTAATTCCAATAGTAATAATAATATGACAGTGTAAGTATGTGTTAGACAAACACTAACAAAAGTGCGAAATGAAAAACATAACCTCTTACATTCTTAATAATTGTACTACACCGCGTCTGACCACATACGTGAATTTTCACTGCGAGTCAACATATGAGGTCCACTGAGGTCAACCGTGTGTTGCTGTGAGGTCCAACAACTTTTGTGAACTAAATCTTCTTTATTTGCACGTTTAAATATTATTTATACGACAAACTATGCTACAAAAAAACGCTTACAATAAAATAATTATAATTTACTTAGAATTGCAGTGTAATAAGACGTGAATAATTAATATTGAATTGAAATTTGTATATATTTTGCTATTTCACAAAAAATAGGGGTAATTCATAATTTTCTCGTTTCCAAATTCCTAAATTCTAAGTTCTCAATTTACCAAATACAAAGATTTTCATATTCTTGAATTTCTAGATCCTAGAAAACACATTCCCAAATTTTCCAAATTTCTTAAATTCCCAAATTACCAAATTACTAAATCCCCCAATTACCAAATTTCCAAATTTCCCAAATCCCCAAATTACCGAATTACCAGATCTCAAAATTCCCAAATTACCAAATTTTTCAAATTACCAAATTTCTCAAATTACCAATTTCTCAAATTACCAAATCTCCCAAATCCCAAATCTCCCAAATCCCAAATCTCCCAAATCCCAAATCTCCCAAATCCCAAATCTCCCAAATCCCAAATCTCCCAAATCCCAAATCTCCCAAATCCCAAATCTCCCAAATCCCAAATCTCCCAAATCCCAAATCTCCCAAATCCCAAATCTCCCAAATCCCAAATCTCCCAAATCCCAAATCTCCCAAATCCCAAATCTCCCAAATCCCAAATCTCCCAAATCCCAAATCTCCCAAATCCCAAATCTCCCAAATCCCAAATCTCCCAAATCCCAAATCTCCCAAATCCCAAATCTCCCAAATCCCAAATCTCCCAAATCCCAAATCTCCAAATTTCCTAAATCCCCTAATTCCCAAATCTCCAAATTACCAAATCCCGAAATCCCCAAATTACCGCCAAAATTCCCAAATCCCAAAACATCTAAATCTCCAAATCCCCTAATCCCAAAATCCCCAAATCTACAAATCTACAAATCCCCAATTCCCTAAATCCCCAAATCCCAAAATTCCAAAATTCCAAAATTCCAAAACCCCCAAATCCCCAAAACCCCAAATCCCCAAATCCCCAAATCCCCAAATTACCAAATCCCAAAATCCCTAAATTACAAAATTCCCTAAATCTCCAAATCCCGAAATCCCCAAATCTCCAAATCCCCAAATTTCCAATTCGCCACCTAATAATAAGTAACCCACAATTTGCCACCTTAAATAACTCCCCAACTCCTTGAAACATTTAATCCCTGACAATTGTACGAATATCATAAATTTTAATACTCCACGAATTTATTGCATACCGATTAAATTCCTCCATTTACCTTGAATATTCCGAACGAAGAATGTTCTTTATTTCTCCATTTTACACTATATCGGGATTTAATATTCTTGCGAAGTCTATGTCCCGAGATATTTTTGCCGCCGGACGAAAAAAAGTCGGAGACATTAATAATCGCTGATGAGTTAATTACGAAGTGGATACTGCGATCCGAGTTAACTCGTTTACGGTTCCGCATCTTTTTACGATGATATTCAATTACATCGAAGAAAATAGAAAGAAAAAAAAATGGGGGGAAGAGAAAGCTGGAATAAATCAATGGGTTTAAAAGATTACGAGTTTCTTAGAAAAGGTCCGCCGCCATCCATTCATTCATGAATTCCCCCGCACGTTTTTCGAATCAACGCTCCGAGACCCGACCTAATATTTCCCTGCTGAATTTAACAATAATTTATTTGCGACGTCGATCGTTGCCGGGCGAACATTGAATTGCAAACGTACGACAACAAAGGTAAAATGAAGAGCAACGAGCAGAAACTGTCGCGTGGAGATCAAACGAGTTCCCTGAAAGAAATGAAGAGGAACGGAGGGGGAGTTAAAGGGTTCGCTCGAGAAAATCAGAGTAAACGATTTCGAAATTACTGAAAGTGTCCGGTAACAAGCGAGGAATTCAATGAAAGTCTTAAAAAATTTCAATGCAAAGGAAAATGAGAGGTTTCAAACGCTTCTGGGGGTAGGTTTTCGAACTTTTGTCCGATCAAAGACACGCTTTTTTAGAGAGAAAACATTTAAAGGCGCGGCAGTTTTTCAAAGGAACTTCTGTGAACGTGGAACGTAGAAATAAAAAATTTCGCTTCGATGGTTATGGAGGTCTGGAGTGTAATGGGTTAGTTGGATGGAAAATAGTTGGACGCGGTGGTTAATGATGAAGGTGGAGAGGCCCTGAGAGGCCCAAAATTAGTGGGACGCTTTGGTGTAATCGTTTTGATGGATTTAATTCGGGGAATTAAGTGTCGGTGGTTTGTTTTGAGGGGTGGGAAGTTGGGAGTTGGGAAGTTTAGAGCTTGGAAACCTGAGATTTAGGAATTTTGCAAGTTTGGGACTTTGGGACACTGAATTTTTGGGAATTTGGCACTTAAAATATTTGGAATACCAGGATTATAGGATTTTTGGGACTTTGGGACTTTGGGATGTTGGGAATTTGGGCCTTAGGAGTTCCGAAACTGTGAGAATTGGAAATTTTCCGAATTTGGGACTTTAGGACATTGAGTTTTTGGGAATTTGACATTTGAGAAATTTGGAATTCTAGGATTTCGGGATTTTTTGGATTTTTGGACTTTGGGATCTTGGGGTTTTGGAAACTTGGGCCTTGTGAGTCCAGAAACATTGAGGGTTGGGAATTTTGCGAGTTTGAGGCTTTGGAACATTGAGCTCTAGAAAACTTGACACTTGAGAAATATGGATTTCTAGGATTTTGGGCCTTTTGGGACTTTTGGATTTTGAGAATTTGGGCCTTGAAAATTTGGGAACTGTGAGAGTTGGAAATTTCACGAGTTTAGGACTTTGAGACACTGAGTTTTTGAGAGTTTGGTACTTGTGAAATTTGGAAATCTAAGATTCTTGGGACTTTTTTGAATTTGGGAATTAGGAATTCTGAAGCTGTGAAATTTAAGAATTTTACAAGCTAAGACGTTGAGACTTTGTATGTTTAGAAATTTAGCATTTAGGAAATTAAGAATTCTAGGATTTTGGGACTTTTGGGCCTTTGAGATTTTTGAGCCTTGTGAATTTGGGACTTACAAGTTCTAAAACTGTCCGATTTAGGAATTTTACGAATTTGGAACTTTTTGACTTCGAAATTCTGCAAATTTAACACTTGGAAACTTTACAATATCAAAATTTTGGGACTTTTAGAACTTCTAGTAATGTGGGTCCTTAGATTTTTAGAAATTAAGGTGTCTAATTGTGTGAAACTTCTACATTTGTAAATTTTAACAAAGTCACGACTTAGGACTTTCAAAATGTAAAGACTTTGAAACTTTGAGCCTTTGAAATTTTTAAAATGTGACTTCTTGTCTTGAAGACTTCACACTTTTGAAAATTAAGATCTTCGAATTTCTGAAACCTTAGGATTTAAGAATTTGGTGCCTCGAAACATTAAATAACATTGAAACATATCGAATCCTTAAACTTTGAGCCACAAGCACTTTAAAATTGCAATAGCACTTCTAAAATTCAAGACTTTTTAATTCCAAAGCCTTGAAATCATGAATTTATAAAAATATAGTACTTCGTGGCTTGGAAATTTAAAAAATTTCGAGGACTTCACGTAATTACAAAACTCTAATTTAAAATTCCGTAGTCATAAAATTTTTGTTCGAAACTTGACGCACCTTCGAAACTCTGAAATTTCAGATATTTAAAACCAGGAAATTTCAAAAGTTCTGTACCATAAAATTTTGCAAATTCACGCTTTATCACTTGAAAATTTCAGGATTTAAAGCATTCGGTGCTTTATTACCATAGACTAGTTTGAAACTTCACAGCCGTGAAATACTGCGTTTGAACTTTGCGACTTGGAAGTTTGGAAATTTCACATATTAGAAAGTGAATAATTCGGAAAATTTAGCAGTCTCGCTAGTGCACAAGCCGGAAACTTTCAGATAATATAACTCAACAAATATAAAAGTTCCCCCTTCCCTGAATGCTCTAAGCACGTGCTTATTTTGCGTAATAGTTTGCCCCAGCCCTGCCAATACCAATGATATACGAAGCACGGCTAGAACCAAGGCGAAACGATGTTTATGACCGAACTTTAATACCCCTTGCTGAAAATTGCAGGAAAAAGTTAGCGTGCTAACTGACGTAATCCGTGGATAATGAAAACTGCGAGCGAAAACGTTTGAACTTGGTGCAAAGCGATTAAAACGAATTCCAATATCCACGGGCAAAAAACTGCGACAATTAACCTGGGACGAAAGGCAGTTCAAACGAGCGGCAATATTCTAATCAGACAAAGTAACTTTTAACTCGGTAAACACCGTCGAAAATTCAATTTATCGCCGACGGTCTGGCACAAAGCAACGTTATAACAGGCCGTGAAACACGCTCGAAAAACCAAAAATCGAAAAACGGGACAAAGGAGAGTGGCCGACAGTACGCGCGAACGAACGTCTATACGCGACGGCGGTCGCCGTGGTGTCTTGTCGGAAATAAAACAAGGGGGCTGAAAAACCATCAAAACAAACCGAACAGAGGGTTAACGTGACAGGAGTCGAAGAATACCGAAGAGGGTTAAAGTTTGACGACGTGTTTTGGAGTTGGCAAGTGTACCTGAGGATGATAGACCGAGGTCTTGCCATCTGCTTGGAAGCTGGGTGTCGTGGTAATGTTCGCATTCGGCAGATCCCTGGGGTTGATCGCGATTTCGGGTCCCGGGTGTATCTTCCTGATCCCCTGGCTAGCAGCGGACGGACCCATCGTCGGGGCCTTCACCATTGTCGGCCGCACCCCGAACTCCTTCGTCTTCGGTCCAGATTCACGCGAGCGGGCAAACACGCACCCACGCACTCAGACACGCACGCAAGCAAGCAACCAAGCACACTGGCCGGTCTATCGATCTGTCCTTCTCTTGTTTCCCCCTGGAGAAACGCGCGAACGAAAGGAAACCAGGTCCTGGTCCTGACGCTAGGACCAACGAGGACCCCGAAACGGTGCCACTCACCACCCAGCGTCCTCGTCGACTATCTCCACGATCCGTTCCCTCCCTCGAACATACATCGTCTCGTTCTGCCGACCTACCCCGACCGCCACCACGACGACAGCGCCGCGCGGATCATCCCCGAAGCTCCGGAGATCCTCCGTCGACGAGAGAGGTCTCCCCACTAGCGTGGATCACGCTCCAGCTGGCTGATCTAGCGGGGGATGCTCCGCCACCATTTCACTACGCTAATGAATGGTGCGCGTGGATGTTTTCATTAATTCTACCGTTTCGCGGAAGATGGAGTGGATACGGATACAGTTGCATGCAAAGTTAGACTCCTTATAATATAACGGCGTACCTCTTTGTTCTATCATTTAGATAACACTGGAGTAGGCAGACGAGTATCACTTTTGGAAATCCTTTGTAACCTTCTATTGTAGAGATAAACATTGCATGTGGATGTTTTCGTTAATTTTGCTATTTGGTGGAAGATGGAGTGGATAAGGTTATAGGTGGATGCAAAGTTAGGCTCTTTTGAATAGAACAGCATATACCTCTTTGTTCTATTATCTGAACAACGCCAAATTGAGCAATAGAGTATGACTTTTGGAAACCCTATGTAACCTTCCATGTAGAGGTAAACATAGTACGTGGATGTTTTCATTAATTTTACTATATGGTGGAAGATGGAGTGGATAGAACTACAGGTGGATGCAAAGTTAGACTTCTTTGAATATGACAGCGTATACCTCTTTGTTCTCTCATCTGAGCAACACCAGCATAGGCAACAGACTATGACTTTTGGAAATTCTATGTATTCTTCCATGTAGAGATAAACATAGCACGTGGATGCTTTCATTAATTTTACTTATGTAATGGAAGATGGAGTGGATGGAGATACAGGCAGGTGCAATGGCTCCTTCAGATAGAACGGAATATGGCTCCTTGTTTTCTCAGCTGGGTAATGACTAAGTAGGTAGAAGTATAGGACTTCAACAATTTTCCTATGGAACCTTCTATGTAAAGATAAACATTGCACGTGGTTCTTTTCATTAATTTTACCGTGTGGAAGATCAAGTGGATAGAATTACAGATGGATCCAAAATTAGACTTCTTCAATGTTAAAGAAATTGCGGATGACTTCAAATTGCTTATGAAATTCATGTATAGACAAATAGTACATATTTTATTAATTTTCCCATTTTAAATAACATTAATCTTTTGCACTCCTATGTCTAGTATCGTATAATAAACGAAAAATATATTTTTCATAATACTCTGTAACATTTTATTAAGAACCTTGATAAGCAAAAGAAATTATTCTGTTGCGTTTTATTGAGAACCTTGATAGGTAAAAGAAATTAAGGAGTACAAAGGGTTGAGAGAATACGACTACAGTCACATGCAAAATTACGCTCCTTTTTGTTAATTTTCCCATTCCACAGAAGATTGAGATATGGTCGAAAGTTAGGTCCTTCCGGTATGCACGGAACGTACGAATGTACCCTCTCTGTTTTCTCTTCTAATAGCAAAAAAGATAGAAGCGTATGATTTTAAGAAATTTCTTATGAAACCTTCTATGTGAAGGTAAACTGCACGTGGATGTTTTTATTGCTTCTACCGTTTGGTGGAAGATGAAGTGGCTACAGTTTGATTCAAAGTTAAGTTTCCTCCGGAACAAAACCTATACCTATACCTATTGTTTGAAATATCTACATACAATACATGAGATATAAAGTGTATGACTTTAGGAAGTGCTCTGAGAAATCTATATATCTAAATATGTGGATGTTTTCATCAGTTGTACCGTTCTGTGGAACATTAAATGGATATATGGAGTAGGATACGGTCCTTACTTTTCTACGTGGACAACGTCGGAAGAGACGAATCAAGCATACGATTTTAGGAAACTTGAATCCTCGTGTATAGTATTGTACATAAATAGCATATGTGGATGCTTTCATTACTTCTACCGTTTTAGGGAAAATGGAATGGATATAGCTACAGGTGGATGCAAAGTTTCTGTCTCCTCATGAATATATTATAACTTCTTGTTTTTTATGACAAAATTGAAATATACAAATTAAGTATACTGCTTTATTAAATCTTCTATGCAACTTCCTATACATATGACATAAATACAATACAATATAATGGATATTTTCATTAATTCCATTTTATAGAAGACGAAGTATGCCTACAGTCAAATGCAAAATTTTGGTCCTCTAAGTGAAGTGAAATGAATATGCAATACTTTTTTATTTCTTACTTGGACAAAATTGAAATAAACAAATCAAGTATTCATATTTACTGCTTTGGTAGATCTTCTATGCAACTTCCTATACATACACCATAAATACAATACAATACAATGAATGTTTTCATTAATTTCATTTTATAGAAGACGAAGTATATGGCTACAGTCGAATTCAAAGATTTAGTCCTACAAGAACAGACCATATAAATGTGAAGCAGCTTGTCTTTTTAATTGCACAGTATAGAAATAGACAAATACAGCATACAATTTTTGGAACACATCGTATGAAATGTCCTATACAAACACAAATACCATACACCTTACAAAATTTTCAAGTTTTGTATCGCTTCTGACACGTTCGTTAAACTTCACTAACTGCGTCACGTACATGAAAAGTTCGGTATAACTATATGAACTCACTTGAAGTGATGTGCAATTTGATAAATTCTCACTTCTTATGCTACAATTGAACCTTGTTCGTTCCCATTACCGTAACTACTGCATAATATATAAATTAATTAAACAATTTTATACTCGCTGACAATATTATGAGAGAAATTCTTGTTGAACATTGAAAATGAAGGTGATGCTGTTTTCCACTAATATTTATTAAATATTTTTACTAACAAATGATTCTAAGGATTTCTAGAAGGTTAGGTTAATTAATTACTGAAGCCTTTGTTTATCAAGATTACAAAATTAGTCAAATTTGAAATTTCGAAGTCTTTCAATGTTTCGATATACTGAAACTTCAAAGATTTTTCAGAATTTTTTGTGAATTGCTTAAAGACTCTGAAGTGTGTTTTATCTATTCTCTGAAGTTCCAAGATTCCCAAAGTTTCGATTGTTCCAAAGTCTCAAACTTCCAAAGTCCCAAGCTCTCAAAGTCCCAAACTTCCAAAGGCCCAAACTCTCAAAGCCCCAAACTTCTAATGTCCCAAGCTCTCAAAGTCCCAAACTTCCAAAGGCCCAAACTCTCAAAGCCCCAAACTTCTAATGTCCCAAGCTCTCAAAGTCCCAAACTTCCAAAGGCCCAAACTCTCAAAGCCCCAAACTTCTAATGTCCCAAGCTCTCAAAGTCCCAAACTTCCAAAGGCCCAAACTCTCAAAGCCCCAAACTTCTAATGTCCCAAGCTCTCAAAGTCCCAAACTTCCAAAGGCCCAAACTCTCAAAGCCCCAAACTTCTAATGTCCCAAGCTCTCAAAGTCCCAAACTTCCAAAGGCCCAAACTCTCAAAGCCCCAAACTTCTAATGTCCCAAGCTCTCAAAGTCCCAAACTTCCAAAGGCCCAAACTCTCAAAGCCCCAAACTTCTAATGTCCCAAGCTCTCAAAGTCCCAAACTTCCAAAGGCCCAAACTCTCAAAGTCCCAAACTTCCAA